ATATTTTCTTTCTGTGCATCCTCTCCTCCGTCGATTTAAGGTACGCAACGCATACGCAATTGCGTATGTCTATGGGCAACGGTCACTTCGCTATTTCAGCGATTTCAGGTGACCGATCGCTCGTTTGCCACCTTATGATATAAAAAAAAACTGTTGTTTGGCCTTTTCTTGACATGATTAATAAAATTGTTTCATTGTTTCAGTGTACAACATATATTTACTGTATTTGGTGTACAACGCAGTTTATGTACTTCAAAAAGAGGCATTAGTACAATACGTGACTTATCATGAACAACCACCTTTGTAATGATAAGGTACAATCACATAGAAATTACATTTCTTACAATCTAATCTTTTTTTTATCAATATTGCTACATTATTAAAGGGTTGCAAGAGCCAGTGGTCACTCAGGGTTAACAGTCTGTGCTAGAAAGAGATGGGAATAGAATAAACAAAGAACAAAGAAAGAGACGTAATAATTTTATCTATGCCTATTTATAAATATAAATATATTGATACCAACATAAAGGATTGCATGAGTCAATGTGGTAACGTTAAGGGTGAACAATCTATGAGACAGAGATGGAAATAAAAGTATAAAAGAACAAAGAAGGAAGGAAATATTTTGGTTTTATTTTTTTAATCTGTAAAATATCTAATGTGACACAATAAGGGAGATCTATGCGTTTGGAATAAAAATAAATAGGTCAACGACCTAGTTCTGTCAAAAAAAACAATTGCAATAAAAAAAAATTACGCAAATATTATTTGAAGTTAAATATTTACATATAAAATAAACATTATTTAAAACACTATGAAAGTCTGTTTTACTTATCTTCACCTTAATTTGACAGATGTGACGTCACAATATGGCGGTTCATGCACATTTTTGTTCGAACAACATTGTAATTTATCGCATATATTCAAATGTCGTTAATGAAAGATCTCATGTTACATCTCCTTCAACTGTTGTTGCAGCAAAGAAGACAATTGTTAACGAAAGATGGCAAAATGCTTTTCCCACGACTCTCGCTTCTAAGGACTAGTTTCTTTTGTCAATAGTGTATCGGACATCACTAGAGCTGACACACCATATTAAATTAAATGCTGAAAATACATTGGATTTTTAATTCATCATCAGCTCACTATACGTACCCACTGAGGAGCTCAGAGCCTACCCTATGTTAGGGGTGACTAGGCCATAGTCAACCACGATGGCCAAGTGCGGGTTGGTTGACTTGACACATATCTTTGAATATCTTCTCAGATATGTGCAGATTGCATCACGATTCTTCACCGTAAGAACATCGGATAAATGTACATATGTAAATCGGAAATCGAAAAACACATTGGTACATGGCGGGATTCGAACCCAGGACCTACAGATTGCAAGTCAAGTGCCCCTGAGCCACCGACGCTCTTTTTAATTACTAAATTTAAATTATCTTTTAATAACGATAATTAACGGTTTTTATTGTAAAGTTTGTAAGTTTGTTAAATTACTTTGAAATAATTGTTGTATTATTTAAGAGTATAAATTATAAAATACGAACCTATTTTTTTTTATTATAAATTAGGGTGCAAATCAATTCGTAAGTGCTAAGCAAATTGATTTAATGTGGTAGAATTTTGCAACAATGTACATTTTAATAATTCTATAGAATTTATTTTTATGGTCATCAAATAGCAGCTCTGTAGATATATTGACACGGTTTTATCGTGACTATGCGCGGCAAAGCAAGTCAGTCAGCATTGCAGTGCGTGGAGTGTCGGTAGTGCGCGGGAAAATGTCGGCCACAGTACAAACTAGTTTGAAGTAAGTTACCACGGCGAAAGTTTTTTAAATTTAGAATTACGAATTGCGTTATTTTTTTTCTATTGTTTTTAAATTTAGAATTATGAAAATCGACGCGATTACTGTGAGTTGCCAGTGTTTTTTTTAATTTTGTTTTTGAGGTGTAAGTTATTAATTGGATTAATTATTATTTATTTTTATTTTCTTTTTAATTATTCATTTAGAATTGAAATATTGTTTCCGAAAAAAATCGAGTAACGATTAGAAATCGATTTTTTTATAATCGTGAGCAATCTTATTTTATAATTCCATCATATTTTCTAAAAATTACGCTTTAACGTTATTGGAGAGGAGACAAGCAACTTTCTCCAACTTCGCAATATTATAAACACTGTCTAGAGAACAAAGTTCAAGATCACAAAAACAGACACTTCTAAAAAATCTTAGGCCATAAAAGAAAGCGCAAATACTGACGTTTTTACGTAACAACTTTTTTTGGACAATGTTTCGTTTGAATATTTTGCTAATCTGTTTCTCATTTAACATTTTTAATTCTTCTTATTTTGGTTTCCCATCACAAATTAATATAAAAAAAACATATTTAAAAAAATGGACGCGTATTTAAAAATTATAATAATGTTAATTGGTTCAGTATTACTTAGAGATAAAAACATTATACAAACTGACTGAATTACACACGTCAAATTGGGAATTTGCTTAACTTATAACTACACAATTCTTTAATAAATTGTCTAAAATTACCTCGTTTATAAAAATTCCATGTCTTCCATAGGTACTGTTTTCTTAGAATTTCAAAGGCATATACTATCAAAGCGAGCGTCGGTGGCTCATTGGTCAAGCACTTGACTTGCAATCTGCAGGTCCTGGGTTCGAATCCCGCCATGTACAAATGTGTTTTTCGATTTCCGATTTACATATGTACATTTATCCGACGTTCTTACGGTGAAGGAAAACATCGTGATGCTGCACATATCTGAGAAGAAATTCAAAGATAGTGTGAAGTCTACCCGCACTTGGCCAGCGTGGTTGACTATGGCCTAATCACTCTTAACTTAGAGTAGGCTCCGAGCCCCTCGGTGGGGACGTATAGTGAGCTGATGATGATGATACTATCAAAATGTTTAGTATTTTCAAAGACTACGATGTCTTACATTATTTATTATCTATAGAACAAAATTTTAAAACAAAAAACAATGCGTTTCGCTCAATATTCAACAATAGTCTGTTTACGTAGTTCAAGTTGTGCTCGGATAACTAAGAAGGTCAAGAAATTAAGTAAAGACAAGAACATATTTATTTTTTTGAACGATTCAAAATTTTATACCGCTTATGCAATTTTTTGAAATTGGAATTTTATAAATATTTTTTTAATTTTTTTATTTAGCGATCTGCAAACACAATTCTAGCAATAACTCGATTGTGATAAATCGCGAGTTTCTTTACATAGAGATAGATAGATAATTTTATTTATTTATTTATTTATTTGGTTTGTCAACAAAAGTACATGAGTTCTTATATACATTTTTGGCACTATTACTAAAGGTTTTAGGAAACATGTAATTTCACTTACAGACAAACACAGCATGTATAAAGTATTGGTGCATAAACAATAAAACATAGACAAAAGAGTATGAAAATTACAAACAAAATTTAACTAAAAAATCCGAATTAAATGAGAGTAGGTATTAAAACGAATTGTAAATTAAACCAAAATTAAAAGCGTGTATACAGCAATATACATACTTTCGCAAAACAAGAAACAGAATGTTAGACGTCTGCGACATCACTAGGATTCAATACACCAACTATTTTTGATTTAAATATGGGTAATTTGTCATGGAATAAATCGACTACGAAATATCTTACTTGTACTATAAATGCGAATGTTTGGATGTATGGATGTTTATTAGAAGTTATCTCCAGAACAGCTGCATGGATCACACTGAAATTTGGCATAACTGTAGAAACTGGTCTGTAAGAACATATTGGCTACTTGTTTTTTTAATTCCTCGTCGACGTGCTCTAGGACGACGGCTAGGATTTTCAAATTAGTAATTTAAAATGTGGATTTTATTTTTATTTGTGACTAACTATTGGAAATATAAGATTATCTTGTAAATTGAGATAAATACTTATTGTGGTTACTACCCAGTATCAGAACTAACAGTTCCTTGTTAAGACTTTATTTATAAAAAAAAACTGTCTGTCTGTGAATTCTTTCAAACATATCTATACCAAATTTCAACCAGATTTATACGGCCGTTTTGAAGATATCTTCTTAAAAAATATGTGTACATCCAAACATTCGCATTTATAAAACAAGTAAGATGTAAAATATATTGTTAATATTAAATTTTTGTCCCATCTGTTGTCCTGAAGGATAATATTCGTGTATATTCATTCAATTTATTTAAATTTTAATTTTAATGAATGAGTAATAGTCATCCTATCAAACGTTCAAAGGTATACATCACCAGCTCACTATACGTCCCCATCGAGGGGCTCGGAGCCTACCCTAAGTTAGGGGTGATTAGGCCATAATCAACCACGCTGGCCAAGT